CATGAGAAAAACTATTTGTGGCATACTTTCAACACATTTTTGATGAGTTACTGTCTACTTGTTGAGTCATAAAGAAGCCATTTGTGGCATATTTCCAACACATTTTTGGTGGCTTACTGTCTATTTGTTGAATCATGAGAAAACTATTTGTGGCATATTTCCAACACATTTTTGGTGGCTTACTGTCTACTTGTTGAATCATGAGAAAACTATTTGTGGCATACTTCCAACACATTTTTGATGAGTTACTGTCTACTTGTTGAGTCATAAAGAAGCCATTTGTGGCATATTTCCAACATGTTGTTGGTGGCTTACTGTCTATTTGTTGAATCATGAGAAAACTATTTGTGGCATATTTCCAACACATTTTTGGTAACTTATTGTGTATTTAGTTAATTATAAGGAAGCTATTTGTGGCATACTTCCAACATGTTGTTGGTGGCTTATTGTGTACTTAGTTAATTATAAGGAAGCTATTTGTGGCATACTTTTAAGACGTTGCTGTTGGCATATTGTGTACTTAGTTAATTATAAGGAAGCCATTTGTGGCACACTTCCAACACGTGATTGGTAGCTTATTGTGTATTTAGTTAATTATAAGGAAGCTATTTGTGGCATCTTCCTTATAATTAACTAAGTACACAATAAGCCACCAACAACATGTTGGAAGTATGCCACAAATAGCTTCCTTATAATTAACTAAATACACAATAAGCTACCAATCATGTGTTGGAAGTATGCCACAAATAGCTTCCTTATAATTAACTAAGTACACAATAAGCTACCAATCATGTGTTGGAAGTATGCCACAAATAGCTTCCTTATAATTAACTAAATACACAATAAGCTACCAATCATGTGTTGGAAGTTTATTTGTGGCATACTTTTAACATGTTGCTGTTGGCGTATTGTGTACTTAGTTAATTATAAGGAAGCCATTTGTGGCATATTTCCAACATGTTGGTGGTGGCTTATTGTATACTTTGTTAATTATAAGGAAGCTATTTGTGGCATACTTCCAACATATTTTTGATGCCTTACTTTCTACTTGTAACCTGATTTAAACCAACACCTACTTAAAAATATTGTTCATATACATTAATAGTAATGTATATAGATGCATCATGTGTTGATTTGAGGTCCTAAGGGACCATTGAAGAACTTTTTAAAATATTTAATCTTAAAGAATTAATAAAACCTTCATTTAACCACAGGGATTTTTTATCTATTTTGAGTACAAAAAAGATGATTGTTAAGCTCAACTGAAATTAATGTATATTATTTCTCTCTTGTTTTGCTTGAACTTGAACAATCAGCACAGGGAAAAAGATAGTGCTACAGTGGTACATCTGCTCTTGGCTGGTGAACATGAAGTCAGACTGATCTGTCCACCTGGTAAAGCACTTATTTCATCTATTTCAGTTATTAAAAATTTTATAACATACTCAGTAAAAAAAATCTACAAATGATAAATTGGTATATTGCTTAATAGTTATTAACTACAATTTCTGATAGCAATATATTAACTACAATAATTTCAGTTAATACACATTCTTATCAAATTTTTATCATTTTACCTTTATATATAAAGTATTCTCTGATGAATTTATTTCAGGTTTTCCTAAACACAATGGGAAATTTCAGATAGAATCAAACAGCAAGCTCAAAGAGTGGTGTTGTTCAATGAATGAGGTTAGTAGCCAGCTTCATTATCATGCATTGATCAGCAGTATCAATACATTTTGTGCTAGAGAGTCTTGAAATGCAGCTTTTGCAATGCATGTGTGGCATCTATGTGGTATATATAATCCAGTATAGAATCAAGTACTAAAGACACAGAGTGTTGGCTAGACTAGTGAGAGTTTGACTGTACAATTAACAATTATTATGGCTGAACAAAGTTTTAAGTGATGTAAATGTCTGTGTGTTTAGGTGGCTGTAACATTTTCAACAACCAAGTTAGTTTTTGTTAACCCTATGTGTACTGCAGGGTCAAAGTGTGCATGTCACTACCTTTTACAGTTATATTCAAAATGTAATTAGAACAACTTTATTATTTATGTATGTCAATAAACTTGGCATCAAAATGTTGTTTATAATTAAAATTTTAATATTATCTAAGTTTAATCTCTTAATTTCAAAAGGTAATGTGAAAATAATAATCAATTTTTACTTCTCTTTGTCAGTGACACATCTGCACTCCCACATCTTGCCCATATCAGATTTTCAGAGTTTCCAACTGATTAGAAACACATACTCCAAATGTTGAAAAGTCAGAATATAAGCTTAGAGCTTCCAGTCTTTTTGCTTCACTGAGTTATAAAATAAAATTTAAAGCCTACAGAACACATCCCTCCCACGTTATTCTGCCTTTCAAAAATGTGATTATTCTCACTGAAATCGCTGTTGGATTATGTATAATTAATAGAAAGTGAAGATATTTTCGACAAGATTCATCATACTATTATTTCATTTTACACACATAAGTAGATATTCAGCATCATTTGCATTATTTGTGGTCATGTTTTTTTGCTATGAACAGCTAATGGACCCTTTTATAGTTTAGTTAGAAAGCCAGTTAAATTATTTTAATCTTGGGACATTCCATTTTAGTGCCTGGTATATTCTTTTTGTTCTAAAAGGCATACTTGAACATTAGTGATTTTATGGAGAACCAACAAAGTATTAGAAAAGTTAGTGCTAATGAAGGATGCTTTTGATTACAATTTACTGAAATAGGCTTCAGCGTTAATTAAAATATCTTATTTTCTATGTATATTTTTATTTATTGTTATATTTTAAGAAATTGACTGCAATGTAAAAATTAGAAACTTAGTAGGTTAGATAACAAAAAGTAAATAAAAGAGTAATTGAATAAAAACATTTCATGAGACCAACTTCAGCTAATTGTCTCACATTATTATAATTTTATTGGTTGCTTACTTTAAGTCCTCTTACTATAGTTAATTGCTTGTCACATAGGTTCTTGTAAAGTATCTATAAATAGGTTAAAAATTCTATTACTGCCTAAAGCAAGTCTTTAGTGAAACACACCAAGCTCTCTTCATGAACTATCAACTTTACCCAATAAAATGAAAGACAATCATATGATATATGTGGTTTAGAATATGCATTTCAATTGGTTATAGATATGTCCAATAGCAATGTGAGAGAGAAATATAGACCTTTCTCAAATGAAAGAATATATATGAGAGAGGTGTGTCATGTGGGTTGAACAAATATAGTGATATCTCAGTAAAAAAGATTGAAGATAAATGGTTGAATTTTTATTTTCTAGCCTGTAAATATCTATAGTGTGTATTTCTAATTGGTTAATCAATCTAAAGCCCTAACAGAGGAAGAGAAATCAGAGCACTGCCATGTCATGCAAATTAATAATTCATTTAAAAATTTCCTTTTGTAATTATGAAGTTAAAACTTAAATATTATAAAAATGTGAATTATAAGCTATGTTTCATGCCAAACTTATCAACATACATTGATAAAAAGTAGTTTAAGGCCAAGTAAAAAAACGTTTAGCATCTGCAGTTTTTGAAAAAAGGAAGGAGTAGGTCTTTTTTTTTTTAATGAACTCTTTGAAAGAAAACTTGCACCTTTTTTCTTGATTGTTGCTTGTTTTCAGAGAGGCCATGTCAAACAGAATTCTTCTTTGTTTCATTTTTTTCATCAAAATGATACAGAATTTATGACAAAGAAAAAGAGCAAATTGAATCAACTGTGTTCATCTTATTTTTTTATTTTGAAGTTTTCTTTGTTTCTTTGTATGCTTGAAAAATAATAATTTAAAAAAGGAAAAATTGCCAACCAAAAAATGGGAAAGGAGGCGGCTACAAAAAAGGAAGCAGGCAGGGATGTCAAACATATTTTTTTACTTGGCCTAAATTAAATTTTGAATGTTTATCTGTGAAACATCTTGATATGTTTAGTTTGACCCTTCATTTGACCATAAGATTATTTGATGTATCAAAACATTCCTGTTTGCTCACAGTTATTTTTAATTTTTGGTAAAATATGTTTTCTTTATTTTCTGAGACTGACTGAAAAATGAAATTATTTCATTTACAGTACTTGAATAACATTGAAGGCCCTACAACACTTAAACAAGTATTATCAAAGTAAGTCTCTTAGCTATGTTCTAGACATTTATTTTTGTGTCTTAACTTAGGTAAACGTGTATATTTTTATCAAAGTGTTTTTATCTTTTTAAGATATTACATGATTGCAGATTATTCATTAGTAATAAAATATTTGTTTATTTTCAAATTAAAATTTGATAACAGAGGTTATTAGATTCATAGTTGAATGATGTAACCTCTTGTTAGTACTATTTTTATAATGTACCTTTAAACTGACAGTCACTGTTTTAATGGGTGGATTTCAGTAATGAATAATATTATGGTTTTTACTTATTTAAAAATTGTTTTATAATTTTCTTGAGATTTCAATCAATAAATTTACAACAACATTCATGGCTTATCAAATAACATAGTGTTTCATCTTTCAGGGCTGTTTCAAGTTATAAAAGACGGTCTGACCATAATTTATCAGAAGATGATTCAATGGAGGTAAAAGTTTTGGAAGAAATTGAATATTTTTATTTCTGTGTATAAACTTGTTTATTCAAGATTTTTTTTCTCTAGAAAATTAAATTTACAGAATTTATTTGTCTTTTACTCACAACCTTCAGTGAGAATAACCTAAATACTTTTGTACTGAAAGGAAATTTTAACTAAACATCTTTATAAAAATGTTTCCATGTTGCTGTAATTTTAATACAGTTAAGTGTATACCAGTGCTTATGACACAAAACTTGCATAGTCAACTGAAGAATATGTAATGTGTAAAGTAAAGTATTCCCAGTCATGTCACAGAATCTTTAAATCTTTCTTTTGGATTCCACTCGCAATCTGCGGTTCACGGGTTCAAATCCCCGTCACACCAAACATGCTCGCTTTTTCAACTGTGGGGGCATTATAATATGACGGTCAATCCAAATATTCATTGGTAAAAAGAGTAGCCCAAGTGTTGGCGTTGGGTGGTAATGACTACCTGCCTTCCCTCTAGTCTTACACTGCTAAATTAGGGATGGCTAGCGCAGATAGCCCTTGTGTAGCTTTGCACGAAATACAAAACAAACAAACAAAATTCTTTTGGATTTAGGTTTTAGATGTCTTTTGAAGGCTTGTTATCTTCCCTATATTTGGAAAGGATTCTAAATTTATGTACAATGAGGACAACATAAGCAAGTGTAATATTGGCTCTACTTGTGCTAAGATGTTTTACTTCTTTTATTTATTTATTTTTTGTGTGTATTTTATAGTACAGTTTCTTTTTCACCTGTTGATATTGACAGTACATCGTTGAAAGTTTCTTTTTTACATGTGTAGGATGATGATGAAGAGGATATCCACCAGGTAAAAAATCAGTTCTGTTCTACTTCCTTATTTTACTGAATAAAAATATATTTATATCTAAATTCTGATTCAGTTATCATTGAAACATGGTTATCTAACATTTAAAATTTTTCTTTGGCTTATGTTTTACAATTTTTTAGTACTCTGCTACTTAAGTTTGTGTGAATTACTGTTTTAAAGTTATAACTCTGATATATCGACTCTGCTAAGTCATTACCAGAGTTTATTGTTGAATAAGAATCATCTAGGTGCAAGTACCAAAATAGTAGCTACAAGACTTTTAGCAGTTTTTGTGTGATTGTTTATCTACCTTAATACATACATGGATCAGAATTAGTACAGTTGATGTAAATTATGACTAAATATTTCAGGATGTGTCTGTAGATGATGGAGACAGCTTTGAAGTCACAAACTTGGAACGAGAGATTGCAAGAAAAAAGGTACGAAAACATAATGGTTAAGGTGCTGATCTCTAAAGTTTTACAGAGATTCTATCAGTTCCATATCTGGCAATGTATGTATGTGGGATCTGATCCAAAATCTTATGTTTACTAGAGTTTCAGATTAAAGACTCATTTTAGACACAAACTTATTGCATGATTAAAACTAATATAGAGTTTATGGTGATTTGTATCTTTTCATAATTTCTAACTTGTAGAATTACTGTTTTCTCAATTTACTCTTAAAAGTGGGAATTGTTAAATCATAGTGGGTTATTGCATTTTCAAAGCTTATTGGTTAGTGTGGCTCCAACTTACACGTAACAGTATGGAAATATTTGAACTAGTTCTATGATGTTTGGTGTTTTTCAAGTCCTTGTGAAGTAAATGTAAGTTGTCATGTCAGAAACTATGGCAGAAGAAGGAAGCACAGCTCTTAGAAGAAAAGAGAAAGACTGATCGTAACCATGGAAAAAGACACATCCCACTGGGTATGTCTCAGAGTTAATATTTCTCGTTGTTAAGACCATATTTTAATCATTGAAAAAAGACAACCAGCTTAACATGCCTCAAAATGAATATTCATTTTTAAATGTAATTTAGTCTTGGTTATTCATGTACAGTGTGATTTACACTAACGTATTTTAATACAGTCATACTAATAGTTTTTCAATGAAGTTGGATAACAACTACAGAGATTAATACCATAAAAAATGAATACAAGCTTTTGAGTTAATTCAAACTGGTACAAGATTAATTTTTTTTTATGACAAAACAGTTATGTGAGATTCCACTAAGGTATAAGGTTTAAAAGAGCAACTATTATAAGGTTTCAAACATCTCAAATTATTTACATACCTGGATCTTACCTAAATATAGTTGTCTTCAGTATGATATACTGTTTTGAAAATCATTGTGTTTAACAGAAGATCTGGTTACAATGGTTTCTACAGTGAACGTGTAGATATTTTATTATCAACAAAGAAACAAGTCAACTTTATCTGTTCTCATATTAATTGTTAAACAGAATGTAATTGCATTTTATGTAATTGACTCAAAGGTTTTTCTGATGTAACCACCATTAGATGTATGAAACATTTTTTTAAATCAGAGGTGTTACAAATGTTTTCTATGGTTTTGGGCTTTCGTAGCTCATATATTACTGTATTTTTTTTGGATGATACTAGTGAATTTACTTGCTGCCAGAAGACTTCTTGTTCTGTTTTTGGAATTTATTTAATCTTCTTCCTTTTATATTTCTATTTGTGATCTTGTGAGAAGCCCATCTAGACCTGTTTGTTCAAGCTCTATGAACGATATATCACGTGAATTGTTTTATGTAGCTTCCTCAAACATTGGTTGCTAAATAATTATTGTTTTACTTGAAATGGAATGAGTCCTTTAATTTCTTTTTTTCCATGAGTAGTGGAAAATGAATTATTTTTTTTCCCATTAGTAGCTACCTGTGGTGGGCACAGCACGGATAGCCTATCATATAGCTTTATGCTTAATGATAAACAAAGAAACCCATTAGTAGCATAGCTGTTTATCTGGAATTTGCAACAACCTAAGAAAGTACTTTGTCCTCTGAGACAATAAGTCATCTTAACATTGTACCATAGATATGTTTTTTTTTAGGACATCACTGTTCAACCGGACAAAAACAGACCAAAGAAGATTTGTTACATGTTCCAAGCTTTACTCCTTCGGGATCAGTGTTGGTCAATGAACTTGTGGCCATTATGGAAGACCCACAGGTATCAAGTAATTAGAAAGACGTAGGGCACCACAATTAGTTTCAGTATGAATTAGTATTTGTTTATTGTTGTTTTTTAATTTGATTTGCTTTTGTTCTACTAGATTTGCATATCAGGTTAATTATTGCTTTATTTTTAATTCTCTTTAATCTTTTATGTTAGGTAGGACAGCATGAATGAGTAAGTGGATGATCTGTTATTTATTTATTAAAGAACTTCCAAATTTTCATATTAAAATAGATTTCATCATTATAATGATAGTCACAATTTAAGAACTGATATGTAACCATAGAGTATTTATCCAAAATATGTCAGTGACATAGTGCCTTACAATAACGGCACAGGTTACTTGATTTATTCATCATAGTTTAATAACCATTGCCTTTTCTTTAAGTCTAGCATAAAATAAACTTTAATTAAGTGACTAGAAGTTGACAAAGAGCTTAAATTATATATGTGAGTAAATTTAGCATTTCACTCTAAAAGTGTAGAAAGTACAATAAAAATAAGGAGAGTTTGTTCCAAAACATACCTCCTCTCACACTACAACTGTTACTCGACTGCTAGGGTTTCCTCCCTTTGCCCATCTAAGAATTGGTTTTATTTTTCTCACTTGCTCCAGTCTTTTATTCCTCACTTCATTGCTCTTGGCAATATCTGTTTCATGACAATCTCCACCTACATCAATGAACCCTTTATCCTGATACTGTATATAACCACATCATTCAGATGATAATATCACTTTTTCTCGACAAAGCATTCACTAATGGGTTTCTTTGTACTACAACCATTGGAGATATCAGGTCTCACCTATCCCAACTCTGATATCTGATATCACTCAACAGTCAGGAGAGAGTCACTCTCAGTTGAGGCTGTCTGTGACCTTATTCTTAGTGAGATGGAGACATATATTCAGTCTGGTGGTGTTTCTCCAGGGTGCTCTGAGGCTGCTGTTGTGGGCCATCCTGGGTATTTTAGAGGGAATTTAGATTTGCTTTTCTAGTGCCTTCCTTTATTCATTGGCATTTTTTTGCCAGGATTGTGGGTGACCAAGTTCAATGTCACCAATGCCTATCTACATGTTCCCATAGTGGAGTCGTTCCACCACTATCTCTGTTTTGTGCACAAGGGTTAGATGCTGCAGTTTAGGGCTCTGCCTTTCTGACTAGCATTGGCACCATATGTGTTCTGCCAAATCGTACAAGCTTTCTCTCTGCACCTCCATTCTCTAGGCCTGTGCACACACACCATTACACAGACAATTGGTTACTACTGACACCATCTCGTCAGTTGGCCAAATATAACACCTAGATTCTACTTTCAGAAGCAATCAAGGCAGGCTTTATTATCAGAGCTGAGAAATCTATTCTCACTCCAACACAATATATCATTCGTCTTGGTGTCTTTTTCAACATGTATCTCAGTCAGGTTCAGCCAACTCTCATCCGGTTCCAAGCTATGGAACAAGCCATCTTACTCTTACTCATGTCTCCTTCTTCCACTGTGAAAATGGTTCTTTCTTTTTTGGGGATGTGAGCATCACTTGAATCCCTCATTCCTTTGGAACAAGTGCACATGAGATCCTTTCATTGGTTTCTCTATAACCAGTGGATCATGAACAGCAATTCACTGGATTCACCAGTTTCCTTATTCAGGATCAGCATATTCAATCTTAAGTGGGGTTAGATTGGAACAATACTATGATAGATGTTCCTCTGCTGCCACCTCCTCCAGAGAAAAGATCCATTTCTTCACAGATGCTTCGCTTAATGGATGGGGTGCATATCTCAATGGTCAGGTATTCCAGGGCCTATGGACAGATGATGAGGCTTCCCTACACATCAGTGTTTTAGAACTTCCTGCTTTTCAAAGAGCAATGTCTTAAGGTCTGGATTTATTGAGGGAAAAAATATTATTGCTTCTCTCTGACAATTCCACAGTGGTGTCTTACATTTCCCGTCAAGGGGGCAGTTGATCCAGATCTCTTTGTTTTCAAACATTGGATCTTCTTTATTGGGCCCACTCTCATCATATCATCTAACTGGCTTGTCATGCTCTGGAGGTGATGAATTTGGTAGCAGATCAGTTGTCTCGACCCAACTGGACTGATTAGATGCTGCAATGTGAGGTATTTTGATCGATGCATTTACCACTCATTGGAACACTCACTATTGGCATCTTGGTTTCTGGTACCTCACCCTTGGGCTTGGCAATAGATGCATTCAGTCAGGACTGGACAGTATTGCACCTCTATGTCTTCCCACTGATTCATCTATTACCCAGTATCCTAGCTATGATTCAGTCAACTCATTGTCATGTTCTGTTGGAACCACCGGATTGGCCGGCTTAACCCTGGTTTCTGCTTCTGCGATACCTTCAGGAGTGCTCCTCTCTTTCACTTTCTGTTTGGTCATCTCTGTTGAAACAGGTATGATCTGACATCATACACCCAGCCATCCCAAAGCTCAAGCTTCATACATGGAGGTTATGCAGTCCGCACAGCATCAAGGTTTAACTTCTAAGGTTGCCATATATCTGTTTCAGTCTCTGCGTAGTCCCATGATGGATATTTATCAACAGAAATGGCACACATTGACAATTGTGTATTGCGAAGAAGTTGAACCCACTTTGTCCAGAAGTGCCAAAAATAGCTCATTTTTTTGACCTGGCTCTTTGACAAGGGTTTAGCATCTTCCACAATCACCTTATATAAGGTGGCCTTATTGACTACCTTTAGATACTCAAGGAGACAAAAATTATTCAAGTCCCCAGTACCCTCTGGCCTACCCATCAGACAGAATTGTTTGCACTGCATATGCACAGAACGCTTTATCATTCTTCCCCCGTCCTCCTGTACCCAGACAGATCCTTCTTACCTAAGACATTTGCAGCCAGGGAAGGAGATAAGTACTTTTCATCGATTCATCTGACTGCTATTTCTCATCTCTATAACCAGTCAAATCTTGATCATTTGTTATGTCCAGTGAGGGCCTTGAAGTGTTATGTTGCCCACACTAACATCTTTAGAGGTTCTAGACTACAACTTTTTATTCATTGGAATCCTTCAGTTTCCTGGGATTTATCCCTGGTTACCTTGACCAGGTGGGTATGAAAATTGATCCATATTGCTTATTCTGGGCTCTCTTTGGAGGCAAGAAGACTTCTGTGAGTCACATCTCATCAGATTCATCAAATATCTATGTCCTTAGTAGCCCACTTGAATTGCCCGCTGGAGATCATTGTGCAGGCTGGTATGTGGACCTCCCCCAATAGTTTTATCTCACATTATTTGCATGATTTAGCAGTATCTTCCTCTGAGGGTTTCCACTACCCCTGTAGCTACCTTAACAACATCCACTAGATTTTATAAACAGAAATGAGTATCTTCACTATTAATCTTGTCTCTTCTTTACTTTCCTGTACCCCTTACCTCTTTTTTTCACAGGATCCCACTTCGTGGCAAGTGTTGTCCAGGCAGTTGTGCTTTTATCAAACCAAATCTGCACTAGCAACCATTAACACAGTATACTTTATCTAGGTTGCAACAGGCTCTGTAGAAATGAGGTGTTTGATAGGACCACCTAGCGGCAGAACGGGTGGCATTATTGTACTATCCTGGACTGCCACTCATGGACTGTCATGAGTAAAGCTTAAGGGGATCCTGACCATCCCTGCTGTTCATTGGATTGAATAAATCGAAGTCAGTTTGATTTTAGAAATTTAGGGAACTTGGTTCACCTATTGCAATGTTTCCAAAGCATTGTTCTTCAGGACTCCCCAACACACAATACCCCACCCCATATTTTTCTAGTGGAGGTAGGGAGTCCTCACCACACCCAGGTTTTCAGTCATTGAGGTGGTGGACAGAGGTTATTCCTCCAGAGTGTTCAAATGAATTTCCTCCACTCTTGGAGAAGAAGGCGAAGTTGGGGACCCTCTTACCTGGGACCCTGGATGTTTTTTTCCCAGATTTTGGTAGGAGAGACACCAGGCTACTCGTAATACCAATTCAGATTTAATGTTCAGCTATCCATTTGGGTTGAACATGGCTCTTTTTTTGGTCATTATTGGTTCAATCATTTACTCATGAAAGAGGGTCCAATTTATTCTCATAATTCTGAACACAGAGTGGTCCCATACTGGGTCCTTGGTTGAGCAAAGTTTGTTCCACGTCCCTCACATAATTTCGGGGACAAGTGGAATTTAACATGCCCACAGTTGTTGGGGAGTGAGGATTAGTGATCATAATTCCAGACTGGATAAGATCTGTTTCCTCAGGTTGAGTATGGCATACATGATTCTGTCATTCTGATTTTTGGGCATTGCCTTTTGGACTTCTTCAGGCTGAGGAGAGGGTTTGTCCACTTTGGTGTTGCTTACCTTCTTGTCGTAATTCCTGTGGCTTGGAATGCATCACTCTATAGCTACAGGTTGAGATCCACTCACAAGTATATATATATTCTGGTCCAAATGCACTAGCCACCAACATGGGATTTAGGGACCATGGCCCTATAATTCCAATTCCAAGTAGTGGAACCTTGGCTACCTGGTTGGAGCCTGGCCAATAGTGATGACGGATCACACCAAATTCCACGTGGGTGAAGAGCATACTTGTTCTAGAGGTAGTGCGGTGCCCTCACTAGAGTTCTAAATTTATATTGGTATGCCCACAATCTATGCAGATGCATTCTGTATGGATACTACCCTCACCATCCCCTCCACTTTATCAAGTTGGGATACTAGCTGTAGTGTGAAAAGAGGTATGTATATTTTGAAAGTTCACGTTTTCTTAAATCAAAAATGTATTTTCAATAATACTTACCTTCTCTCACACTCTCCCTCCCTTCCTCCCCACTAAGAGCCAGTGTTAGAGACTGTGGATTGGGTCAGTCTCAAAAAGTGATAACATTATCTGAATGAGGTGCTTATATACAGTACCAGGATAGAGGGCACATTGATGTAGGTGAAGAGTATCACAAGACAGATATTGCCAAGAGCAATTAAGTGAGGAATAAAAGACTGGAGCAAGATAGAAAAAATCAGACCAATTCTTAGATGGGCAAACGAAGGAAAGCCTAGCAGTCGAGTAATAACTGTAGTGTGAGAGGAGGTAAGTTTTATTGGAAATACATTTTCGATTTAAGAAAATGTTAACTTCTTGTCATGCCTGTAGATTTCAGATTAGTGTCAATCTTTCTGAGAAATTCAAGTATAGAAATGTTCCATATGTATTGAACCTTATAAGTAAGATATATATATAGAGAGAGAAATAATAAGCTATATGTAAATGTAGAAAACATTAAGTTTTTGTAGAGCCTTAGTAAAGTGGAAATTCAGAACTAAATAAACAGTATTTTTTCATAAACAAAAGCAAATTGTATGTTCTAGCTTGTATTCTTTTCTCTCTGTATCATTTCAAACTTAAAAACTGTGATATTAGCAACTTAGTGGTCTCTGGGAGTAATTCATCAAGTAATAGAAAGATAATGGGTTTTGGTTTTGTTTTTTAATCTGTCAGAGATGTTTTTTTGTTTTTTTTTTCAATATTAGTCAGGAATAACAGCTGAACCTATTGAGGATGACATCTACCATTGGTCTGTGAATCTGTCAAACTTTAGTGTAAATAGGTACGTTGTTTTCTTAAAGACATATTATTATTATTTGTGTTGTTTTACTAATTTTCATTTTAGTTATTGTACACATGTGTAATTATTGCCATTTATTTTTCAGCAATATTGGAAAAGATCTTCAGCAGTTGAAAGCAAAGTTTGGCTATGATTATATTCAACTACAGATGGTAAGCATATTTTAGTTCTTTGTGAGGTTGGTAACAGAACACTAATTTTTTGACGATGTCATGTTATGAACATCCTGCCTCTTCATCTGTAATTTTTTAAAGTTTTATATGAATTCAGAAGCAGTTATTTCTTATTTTTTTTCAAGCATTTTTTCAATGTAACTCATGAATGATCTGATTTTTTAAAGGTTTCTAAGTAGGTTTTAGTATCTTATGTTCAAAATTTTATTAAACTACTTTTTGTTTATGCTATACCAATTAGTATAGCATAAAATCTTAGCTAGTAATCCATATTCTATAATGTAATATTTTAAATAATCCCAAATTTCTCCTAGTATTACACACATGACACATTTTTTCTAGGTATATTCTCTTCTTTAATTTATCCACCACCCCTCCAGTAACTATGTAAATTGCTCACTATAAAATCGTCATTGCTCAAACAAACTATAAATTTTTAGCCTTCAATTTTGTTTAGTTACAGAGCTGTCAAATGGAAAATCAGAGCCCTCCTGCCACACCCACCTGTTATGTCCTCTCTTTCAGGATTTCTTAATAGTTCTATCTTATGTTTAACTCTATATTACCGATAACCAATAGCAAGCCAAGGTTTTCATCTATGAAATGAAGTATTATATTACATTGTGTTCTGAACAGAGAATTGTCAGTTTCTCTGTTAGTACAAGCTTCGTTCCCATGGGAAAGATAATGACTAGCATGAATGAATTTGTAACGGTTCTTGTTACATAGTTAGAAAGCTAGAAAAATTGTAATTGTTAGAAGAAATTGTCTGCCTTTTGCATGTTATTATTTTATCTTCTATGGTGTATTATTTAATTAAATAAAAATTGTTTAATGCACTACCACCATTGGCTTAAAAAAAGTAGGAATAAGTGTCATCGATAGTCAACAGCAAAAAAAAAAGAATACTTGGGTAAGTACTTTATTTCTTGTTTTTCATGTTTATTCTTTATTATTATAAAGGTAACTAAAGTGTAAAAATAGGATTCTATTTAGGTTAGTTAAGGTTACATTAGGTAAAATAAATAATAGTATAATAAAAATATTTCACGAGGCATGCACATGAGCAGCTTGGAGTAGCTTCTGGGTAATGTAATTTGATAGTATAACATGACCTCCACATTCTCCAAGTGATTTACAACTTATAAGGGCATGAATAGTGGTTAGACATGGTTCAAAGAACAATAAAATAATAAAATTTAATTATAAATTAATGTATACTGTTACGAGGTATTTAGGATAAATGAATGTAGTTTTATCTTCTATTTGAAGTCATTCTAGAAAGAAAAAAAGGGTAATTTAGATTTATTTAGTTTTTTTTTGGTAATTACAAGGTCAGTCAAATTGATGAACTGCATGTAGGGTTAGGGTAGAGAAAATAACTGATAAAATATAAATTTTTACTCACAACAAACATTTGAAATGTAGTTAGGATGTTTTAGAGATTATACAAATGAAATTTGAGATTTTTGAGATGAAGAAAAGTATTTTTAATGTTAACATGAAAAATCACTTTGCACATGGACTATTCAAAACAAATAATTGAGGTATTGAAGGACAAATCTTTTTTTAGTTTCTCAAAAATCTTCACTAAAATATGATTTTTTGTATGTGAAAGACTTATAATGTTTAATGAAAGAGTGCCAAATTTCATGAAGATATACACACTATATTAAAAGTTAGTGGTATCAAATCAAAGAGGTCACGTGGTTGGTAAAATTGACTAAGCCCATGTTGAGAGAGTTAATGAAAATCAGAATTAACCAGTTGAAAGCAGTGTTGTGTTTACCTAAAACTACAATATCCACCATAGTGTTTTTTCCTTAATTTTTTGTTTTCAGGATTTTTCCATGAATCTATACCCATTTTATCCTCCATTGGTCAAAGTAATCAAACCAAGACTTCAGGTAGGTTTGTTATTGTTCATGTTTTCTAATGGTGAATAAAGATAATGTTATCTGGCTGTGGATACTCTCCCCATAGTTTATGGTAGTTCTTATTAAAGTAGATATTCTTAATGGTTTGTCATAGTTGTTGAATAGATGTTCTTGATGGTTTATCACGGTTGTTTAGTAGATGTTCTTAATGGTTTGTCATGGTTGTTGAATAGATGTTCTTGATGGTTTATCACGGTTGTTTAGTAGATGTTCTTAATGGTTTGTCATGGTTGTTGAATAGATGTTCTTGATGGTTTATCATAGTTATTTAGTAGATGTTCTTGATGGTTTATCATAGTTGTTTAGTAGGTGTTCTTGAGGGTTTATCATAGTTGTTTAGTATATTTTCTTAATGGGTTATCATAGTTGTTGAATAGATGTTCTTGATGGTTTATCATAGTTGTTTAGTAGATACTCTTAATGGTTTGTCATGGTTGTTGAATAGATGTTCTTGATGGTTTATCATAGTTATTTAGTAGATGTTCTTGAGGGTTTATCATAGTTGTTTAGTAGATGTTCTTGAGGGTTTATCATAGTTGTTTAGTAGATGTTTTAATGGTTTATCATAGTTGTTTAGTAGATGTTCTTGATGGTTTATCATAGTTGTTTAATAGGTGTTCTTGAGGGTTTATCATAGTTATTTAGTAGATGTTCTTGATGGTTTATCATAGTTGTTGAAGAGATGTTCTTGATGGTTTATCATAGTTGTTGAAGAGATGTTCTTGATGGTTTATCATAGTTGTTTAGTAGAAATTCTTGATGGTTTATCATAGTTGTTGAAGAGAAGTTCTTGATGGTTTATCATGGTTGTTTAGTAGATGTTCTTGATGGTTTATCTTAGTTGTTTAGTAGATGTACTTGGTGGTTTATCATGGTTGTTTAGTAGATGTTCTTAATGGTATGTCATAGTTGTTGAATAGATGTTCTTGATGGTTTATCATTGTTATTGAATAGATGTTCTTAACCCTCTTGCAATGCACATGTGACAAACTTTTATATAGTTACATTTTAAAACTTAATAAAACTATTATTAATGTATATGAATAAACTTGGCATCAAAATGTAGTTAATAAATAGATTTTCAATAGTGTATATGTTTTAAGTTCTTAATTTTATAAGACAGTATTTAAACAAATCCTGAATTTACCCTAGTATGAGAATTGTGACATTGTTCTGTAGGCATATCCTCTTCTCTGATTTATTTACAACCCCTCCAAGAATAACTCAATTTATATATTGCTCATTATAATATTGTCGTTGCTCAAGCAAAGCATAATATTTATAGCCTTCAGTCTTATTTGGTTACAGAGCAATCACATAGAAAATCAGACCCCTCTTGCCACGCCCACCTGCCACAACCTCTTTTTCACAAATTGTCAATAGTTCTCTCTGACACTTAATTCTATATTATTTACAACCAGTAGAAAGCCAAGGTTTTAATCTATCAAGTGACATATTATATTACATTGTTTTCTGTAAAGAGAATTATCTGCTTTGCTTCTAGTTCAAACTCTATTCACATGGAAAACACATTGACAAGCTTAGCTGAATTTTAAAGGCTCTTATTGCATAGTTAGAAAGCCAGAAAAGTTGTGATAGTTATAACACACTGTCTGCTTTTTACATACTATTATTCTGTGTTTTTTGGTGCATTACATAATTAAATGAAAAATTATTTAGTGCAGTAGTACCATTAATAAGAAAAGGTAGGGTTAAGTTTCATCGACAGTCAACAGCACAAAAAAAAGAAGACCCAGGTAAGTACTATATTTCTTGTTTTTCATGTGTATTCTTTACTTATTATTATATAAGTAATTAAAATGTAAAAAATGGGAATTTTTTAGATTAGCTTAGATAACATAAAGAAAAATAATAATAATTTTTCACAATGTATGGCCATGAGCAACTCGTGAGTAACCAGTGCATTACTGTAATTTGATAGGGTAATGTAAGCTACACATCCTCCAAGTGTTTTCAAAACTTCTATGTTGGAAATATTACTTGCATATGATTCAAAGGGCCACATGGTTCGTACGGGTCATGGAAAACCTGGAAAGTCATGGAATTTTACTTTCATATTTTCCAGGGCTTGAAAGTCAGGAAAAATTGATAAATTGACTAAAAAGTCATGGAATATAAAAATTTGTGAAAATTCATTCCATTTTTCACTAGAAGTGTAAATAAATTTAGATATTTCAACCATTTTCTTCCCGTGTTTTCTTTTATTCGTAACATTTGCCGATTGATTGTGAAAACGAGTTCATCACTTGCATGCGTGCCTATATGAGTATTGTGTGTGTACAGTGGTTGTGTGCGCTGCTGTCTTGAACTCTGTATGCATTTGGGTGCATATGCATTGTGTGTATTGCCAATGTGCACGTAGCAATTGCATGCACATGCAGGCCATAGGCGCGATGTCATATTGTTGCCAGATATACTATTTTGAATCCCGTGGAAACGATAAAAATCCCTTTAGAAAGAGTATTATAATTTTTACTTTTGATATAAACAGAAAATGTTATATGTATTTTTTTTTCTGACCTGCTTCGATAATTTCAATACAAATAAAATAACTTACAAACCCTTGACGTACCGATAGTTCGAAAATCCCAATTTGGCCGGCACGTACGCTAGCGCTATCTGGCTATACACTTGTCGTCGATCATGGACATGTGTTGTTACGTTACATGTTGTCTCACGCTGCTGTTTTATTTTCACATCCAACTTGGCATTTAACGGAGATTCTTTCGCAATATTTTTGTGACTTTTGACTGCTACAGTTTTTGAAAGTGAAAATCAAAATGCCAGGGAACTGTCATTTCAATGATGCTTGGTTAGAGCACCCCGTTTATTGTGAGTGGATTATGAAACTAAGCTCAAATCCGTCGACCGCAAGATGTGCTGTTTGCATGTGCAATTTCAGTCTCAGCAACATGGACGAAGCAGCCGTCAAGAGACATGTGAAGAGTGAAAAACACAAGACAAAGCTTAGTCAAACAATGCGGTAAGTTTACATTTCTTTTGGAAATATTGCATTGCTCATCTTTTGGTATCCAAACAAACATATTTCCTCTAAATTGAAAGATTTGGTAGTAAAATCAAGGTTTTAAATCATAATTCCGTAAGGTATACCAACTCGATATCACGAGAACTTTGTAACTATCCAAGATGGCGGCGCCCATGAGACGATTGAATTCGGAGTTTCGGAAAATCAGAAGTAATTATTTCAGTAATTTGTTGACAAATTTTCAACAAAATTTCACAATTTCAGAGGTATTGTGTAGAATTTATCTCGCTTAAAACACAGCAAAATTATGTAGAAGGGAAGAGGAGTAAAACGAAAACTGCAAGTTAAAATTTTGTTGGTACCACTCTCAGAGTCTCACTCTCAGACTCAGTTTGATGTCCAACTTGACTTGTTTTTGTACAACAAGAGCATTCTGTATCATGTAAAAATATGTTACGAAAATAGAAAGTGATCGGCAGAACACTCCATTGAGCTATCCATTTCAAAATTTCAAATTTTTTGGCGGTGATTGGAATTGTCCAAATGCTGCCTTGTTGGGGGTTCACAAGTCGATTTGTGTCCGGGTCACAAAGTCTCAAAGAAAAAAAATTTAAATTAATTTAATAAATTTATAATGAAAGAGGGATGACTTGGATTATTATTTCAGCAAAGTTATTGACAATTTTATGATGAATATTATTATTTGCTTACTAGTTAATGTGTGC